GAGTACGGAGTATACTGGACCAGACATTTCAGGTCAGGCAGGCTTCTGCAGCTGGCAGCTGCAACCAATCTTGCTGACCCATCTCTATTTCCTGGACCAGTTCATCGACAGCCGCTTGGGCTTGAGCAGCCGACCAGCGGCATAAACTCGACATTCATTTGTCGATGAACGACGAGGACCGCTTCCGCTTTCGGATTCGATAGATTTGTTGTCAGATAACATGTGATTTTGTTATTGTTTGGCTATAGAAAAAAATCGTAAATTATGTTTTATAAGTTGTCCTTTTTAGTTATATATACAACTATTTGTGTAAGATTGTTGTCTCAAAATCCCTGAAAAATTCAGGCACCTAAAGGAAGCACTACCTCCGTTTGGAATCAGTAGGCGTGATCTATTTCGTTAGGACAAGACTTTAGCTAACATTAAATATGTTATTTGTGTGAAATAAACTCATAAGCATTAGTAAGTGTTGGTCAAGAAAATCATCTGTGAACAAAAAAACTATCGATCAAAGGCATGTTCTATCGAAACCAGATAGTACCAATTTCAAACTGATGGAGTATATAGGAGTAAGTAATAGTAACTTGATAAAAAAAAGTTAAACCCCAAAGACTAATGAACTTCGAATGTTGGCAAAATCCAAGAAAGTGTACCTAGACCACCATTATCGAAAAAGATTTGAGTATAGTTGGAATGGAATCTAAAGCTACATCGTTAGTGGGCGACGCATCCACGCTGGGACCTTCGTCCTGTTCGCTTGGTTTATAAGCCGTATTTTTTCGGCCAACAAACGATATTTTTCTCTCACAATAAATCAACCAGCAGTATTTTCAGTCATGATTTACCGGCCAAACAAACATGACCTTGTGCTTTATGCGTGCCTGCAAAATGCAAATGCAGCCCAATAATTTAAAAGCAGCCTGTCCAGTCTCAGACTCTGTATAGGAGTACTCCTACGCCTCTCCTTTCCACCGTGAACTATTGGATGATGAACAGGAACCTTAAACGCAAGTACACCCACCACCACCCTATTAGGCTATTACGCAACCAAAAGTCCCCAATTTGATCAATAATCAATCCAGAAATCGGCCTCCTAACCCCCCAAAAAACCAAGTGGCAAGTACAATGATGCTAGGTACTCCTGTACTAGTACCACTGTAACAGCTACAGGTAGGCGATGCCAGTTTGCCACTGCTTGGGTGCTTGGTGCAGCAGAGCACTGTTACCACGGGCAATGTACAGGAGCCGGCCGGGTAGTTGCGCGGTGCTGTCCAAGAGCTTGATATTGCACATGCCAGGCACGTGCCGGGAGCACCACGCAGATTCGCGGCGTACGGAGCCAGCTGCGGACCATCCAAAATCCAAAGGAGGCGTGCAGACGAGAGGAAATAATTTGCGTGCACAGAAGCCACCAGAATCGCTTTTCATAAAGGTAGAAACAGTAGTGGCGGTTCAGCCGGTTCAGTAGAGCAGTAGTACGTTGCTTTTCATCCTTTGGGGTCCTGGCAGTACGTGCATTGCTGCCATGGCTCACAGTTTCTGCGAAAATCTGGATGATCCCACGATGGCATGGCATGGCACGATACATCCATCTTCTGTGCACGAAAAACTACAGTGGCCACATGGTAGATTACTTACGTAGACTGGAAGTCCTATTTGGTGGTACTAGTACGTACAGCGCCGGCGTACTGACGTACAGTACAGTTCAGGCGACATACAGTTATTAAACGCATTGAAGAAGGCGATGTGTGCACCTGGAGGAGGTTGGAGGCTTGGAGCGAGCGAGGTGCGTCGACGTCGAGCTGGACGAACGGCACGGATCATACGCAGATAGAAGAAGGGTCAAAAATAAATAAATAAATAATAAAGCCAGTCATACCCTGATTAGAACTCCGGTATAACCGTTCATGATAAACTACTCCAAAAACATGCTGCGGCCTTGGATTTGGATAACAGTAATCGGGCGGTTAAGTGGTCGGAACACGACGCTAACCGGCACCGGATTTGGTATCTGGTAGGCCGTAGGCTCCGGACACCGGACTGTGGCGTGTGTGTTGGGATTATCCTGGTCAAATGTTTGGAAAAACAAGGAACCCCCAAATGATGAGGCGACTGCAGTGCATGACCGCAGCCTGCTCCCTGCTTGCTTGTTCAAAGTAGCATATGAGATGATCTGTGGTCTGTGGATAGAGCTCAAGGTGTTTATAAAAGGTCTAGGCATCTGACTTATCTGCTCGAGACAAACTTGCCGCCCAGCCCAACGACCCTGCAGGCTGCAGTATTCAGTCTCATGCATGGTTAGTTGTTGGTTACAGAAATAGTGTGGACTGTGGAGCCAGTTTCGGGTCTTTTCGGCTAGTATTAAAGTCGGCTAATAAATCGGCTGAAGCTATTTTTTTAGAGAAAAAATTATGTAGATTCTAGCTGATAAGCCGGCTAACAGAGCCCTTCGTCAAAATCAGCTGTTTTCAATCAGCAGTAAGATGGGGACGTGATCCACGTACCATATATGTTATCTGCATTTTGACATGTGAGTTTGTTGCTTGGTTTGGGTTTGTTAGGTTGACTAAAGACACAGCTTTATGTTTGTACCTTTGCTGGTTTCTATCATGGAGTCAGAACAGGAACCGATCCCATTGAAAGACAACCCTGGACTTCTTTAATGCCCTGTTGGCTTAAACTTATCGGCCTACTTTATCAGTTATGATACAATATTTTCTCTCATAGTAAAATAACATCAGTCGAGCTTATCAGCCGAAACCATCAGCGAAACCATCAGCTGAATAGCTCTAGAAACAGATGGGCACCTGTTCTAAGAGCAGCCTGAATGCCTGATGAGATCAGAATTTAGATGATGTTCAAAGTCCAATCCGCCGTGTATTCTTTTACCTTGACCTCTCTTTTTTTTTCCTTCCTGAACAGCTCTTTTTACGAGGGCTTGATTGCAGATCACTTCTCAGGTATCTCTACTCCATCTAGTCTGTAGTCTACACGTCATGCGCATCTCGAGACACTTGCAGCTAAGCTCATCACCCACTCCGCCTACTACGTAGCTGCCACTGTTTGACCGTCCATATACAGTCCGTGGTCCGTATTTCTGACACGGCCCGTCTGTCGTCTACTAGATCCAACGCCGCCTTGTTTACTCCTGACCAAATATGTACAGCATCAGACCATAATAAAGCGGCGCCTCCTAAACAAATGCCTCGATGATTAGTAGTAGTAGGAGTAGCATAGCATCACATCGCTGCATTGTTTAGCAGATCCGTTACACGGTACACGCGTCGCCGTCCAAGGTCCGTGCCCAACTCGACCGCCGCAACTGGATGCAAACTTCTCGTATCGTATACCACAGCGTCACAGGGAGTCAGCAACGTATCCAACCGGGCCGGCGACCGGCTCTCGGCGAGAAGGAGAAGTGCAGAGCAGCAAGCAACGCTCCACGTCACGTTGCCACCTACCCTGTTGACGCCGGCCGAGGGGCCTCTCTCAGTGCCCCTCTGCCCCCTGCGGTTTCCGCACAGGAACAGGACCGAGCGCGAGAGGCAATCTGGCGGAAAACGCCAGCGATTACGAGGTGGGAAAATCGGGCGAGCGTGGCGGACGGCGAGGGGAGGAAAGCCGAAAGCGACGACGCGCGCCGTCCGGTTCCAGTTCGAGCCCACCCGAGAGGCCGAAGCCCCCGCCGGGGCGGTGGTGCCGCTGTAGCCTGTAGGGTCAGACGGCCAGAGTCGTCGCGGGGACAGCGAGGCGCGGGCGGTTGCCAGGGGCCCAGGGCCAACTGGGAGTTGAAGAGTGATGGCTGCGGAAGGGTCGCCGTCGCCCGCCTCGCTGTTCGTGGGCCTATCCAGGTGCTGGCGGGCCAGGCGCGGGTGGGTTGGGCGGGGCAAGCGGAGCTGGCGAGCCGCGACTCGTGTTTGCCTGCTCTGCCGCGGCGGGAGTGCGCCGCCTCGTCCAGTTGCCTCGTCGACCTCGACGGATGGATGTGCGCGGCGCGCCGGCGCGCCTCGCCAGTCACCAGTCACCTAACTTAGAGTTTTTTTTGTGTGATTATAAAGGCCATCGATGGTGAAGTGCCCACAGGCCACAACGGTTGTCATGCAGTTTCAGGCACAGTGTGTGTCTTGTAACGATCGTCATATCGTTTTCCTTCTCTTCGGCTTTGTCTTTTGGGGCATGACACGATGGTTCATGCAATGGAGTGTGGACACAAGTAGAGCACGAACGCGTCGAAGTATTGAACAAAATCATGCAGAGTGGAGACCAGGGAGGATGGATACAGGAAAGGGAAGGTGGGGCACAATGTGGCCCATCAGCAGTGCATGGACGTTAATGGGCTCCGTCCAACTTCCCTCTGCCCGGGCTGACGATGTTAATAGTGCTCACGAAAGAGTAAGGAAAATGTCCACTTGATGCCGTCTAGTTTTCTTCACTGAATTACAAAATCAGTTTTTGCGTCTTAGATGGTTTTGATGGTAGTTTTGCTGATGTGGCACCATGGCAAAGGGGTAAATCAGACTAGGTTGAAAGTTTGGGAAGGTAAATTGAACTAGAAATATCTTTAAAAAATACTTAAAATTCATAAAAATAAATTTCAACAATTTATCCAAATATTTTGACATGGAAAAATAATGCAATAAAAAATCCTAAAATTCATAAAAATATTCGGTCCACTGGCCACCGCACACAACTCGGCCCAACTCTATCTTCCTGTCCAGGTTCTACACTGAAGGCTCCTTTGCGTTTATTTTAGCTTCAAATCAGTTGGGTTCAGGATGCCAAAATGCCTGGGTGTACATCCATACAATACTTCGGAGAATGAAGCAAACTACGCTGGTCTATTTATGATGTTACACATACAGAAAACTTTAGACAATGAAGCACTACAATCCAGTTACAAAAACATGCTACTGACACGCTTATGCGTTTCAGACAACACAGAGCAACAAAACCCTTGTACAAAAGTTTGGCATCGAGCAAGAAACTACCAACATGAAATTCTACTGCGAGACACTGGTCTGAAGTGGCAAAGCACTTTCAACTTCAGCTTCCTTTGCTTCTGCCGCGGATCTCTCTGCAACAGCCTTTGACATCCCAAACATCTGAGCAATCCATGGAAAACAGAAGTCTTGAGCACCAAATGCATGACAACCGCAGAAAGACCAAAGCCAAAAACAAATTCAGTGCAACTGACCTTCTGGATTGTCTTCTTAAAGCAGGTCTTGTGCTCATCCATGGAGGCATGAATGAACTCATCGATGTGGTCTTTCAGATCTTCGATGAAGGTAGCATCATCTGTTTTCTTCTTCCGGCATGATGCCATAGCGGGATTTTTGGGGACAGATGGGGCCGGAGCTTCTGTCTGGCCATTGCTTGAAGCCATCTTAACACTGGACCAAGAGCAATAAGAAAGAAAAATCCATGTTAGAGATCTGGTGAAACTTGAAAGAGAGCCATGGAAAGCCCATGCTTAGCAACCAATGCACAGATCTCATCAGAAATAAGATTGGGAGAGTGTGAGGATAAATTACAAGGAAGCTTTCAACCCACTCGAGGATAGTAAAACATATACGAGTTAAAACACAGAAACAAGACCAGAGCTATAAAGTTCCAAACACACTAGCAACATCAAGATACAAAAGAAGCCTCAATCGTTAACAGAACTGCAATCCATCAATCCTTATGTAATGAATGAACAGAAATACTAGCATCACAAAGACTAAAAGTAAATGAACAAGGTTGACCTTATGCTTGATCATGTATCAACAATAAACTACGGGCAGCAGCGCCATAAAATGCCCGGTGAGCACAGAATGTACAGATCAAACTAGAAACAATAGCAGCATATATAATTGCGCGATTCTGAAATCCCAAAGTGGCGAAGCACATGGGCACCAAGCCATCTGGCCGTAAGCTAATACTACCACTGTACCACATGCTCATTCTGTTCCAGACAGTTGCCCTCACGGCTCACCCTGCTGGGTAGGATGACAAGCTAGTTTGTTTTTGATTTACCATTTCAATAGACACAAGCTATTAGCGCGTATGACCCAATCCAATCAAAATACAAGGAAATGCTTAGAAGGATCCACCCCGGGTGCTCTATCACTGCTCACTCCACAGGAGTTTCGACGAACAGCTAGCGTGCGCCACCGCAGCAAACCCAATCGCTGTCTTTCAAAGAAGCAAAGGAAATTGCGGGTTCAGCCCACGTTAGGAGCGGCCGCACCGATGCGTGCACCCGCCCGACTATACTCCGGACGGGAAAATACAGCATGTATTAATCAATTCGATTGATATAGGTCGGGGCGATTTCTCTTACCTTAGCAGGCTGACGGACTCGTGGGAGAGGAGCGCGAGCGCGCGACGCCGGGACGGTGGTGGAGAGGGGAAGATGAGTGTGGCAGGCGGTGGATGGCGAATTGGCGATCGGAATGGGAGAGGAGCCCTCAAGCTGGTCTTGTTTCTTTCTTGCGCCGTGGGAAACAAACGGATTTGGGGAAGGCGGAAGGGGGGCGCCTCTGGTTTTCTTCTTTCTGAGCGTGGGAAAGAAGGGAAGAGGAAGACTACGCACGATCAGGGTTGGGAATCGTCCATGTGTTGCGTTTGGGCCTAAACACTACACGTGGGCTGTACATCCGTTGCGGCAGCTCGTGGGCACTGGGTTCGTGGCAGGTCCATCGGCCATCGCCATCTCATATCGCTGCAGCTGCATGTTGCTGGCTCGTAAACGATCTTAAATTTTCAACTAAAACAGTATTTTTCTCTCATACTAAACCAACCAGCAGTAAATAATCCACGATATATATATACGGCCTCCCTAACCGCAAGCGTGCACAGCCGAGACGAGACGCGCAGACGTCGAATTGTCGAAACCTTTTGCAAAGTGGTGCGTGCTCTGCTCTCTTGTTCAGTCGTTCCGGAGGTGGCGCATGTGCTGTTGTGCAACAGGCCAACAGTGCAAATGACACGGTTGCTGCTTTTTTTTTCGGATGACTTGTGTAGCTGCTCTAGCTAATGCAGGTTTGCGGTAGCAGTTGCAAGTTGCATCAACCCAGTGATGCAACTTATGGTTACTGTAAAACTGATTGTTTGCTGAAATTTTTACTCCATGGTAAAAGAAAGTCAAGCAAGGAACTGTTGCTACGGTAGACTTGCAGAACCATATCAGGAACGATCGAGCCAGTGCTAAACTGCTAATCATCATTGAATTCAACAATCATAATAGGAATACTCGGTCATTGGAATCTAAGGATTATAAACAGCTCAATGGAAAGATGGAACACAGGCAATAAACATGAAATCAAAGTAACCAGAAGCACGAAATCATGGCAAATGGTTGCGGTAACGATTCAATTTCAGGCACAGACAGAGGTTCACATTCTAAGAACTTGAAGCAGAAACACAGAATGTTCATAACGAATTACTGGACCAACCATTCCCAAACCACTACCACGAAGCATGACATACTATGATACTAGTTTCTGGGGAGACCAAAGAAGTCACCACCGTAGAACACCCAAAGATTATTTACATTTTGGCTGGTATTAAATCAGCTTCTGCTGATTTATACGGCTAGTTTGTTGTGAGAGAAAAATACTGTTCCACGGCTGATTTGTACGGATTAAAGCCGGCTGAATAACACAAACAAACAAAGCAAAATGCTGCAAGACGAATCAGAACACCTTCAGTGAGATTAAGGACCTCTTTGGCAGCCGGCTCCGGCTCCGGCACTGTAGCAGGGTGTCGGCCGCCCCAGGAGGCTGCGGGAGCCGGAGCCGCGGAGCCAGAAAAACGAGCTCCGGTGGCTCCGCGCGTGTCAGTGAGAGAGGAAAAAGAGGGGAGAGAAAATCGGCTCCGGTGAACAGTTGCAGGTGTCAGGCTGGAGCCGGAGCTGCCGGAGCCATGCCAAAGAGGTCCTAACTGCTGCAAGACGAATAGACGATCAGAACCCCTTCAGTGAGATTCAACTGTTGTTGTCACCGGCTTCGCCACCACCTCCGGAGTTTCATCATCCTTCACCACAGGCTCGACCTTCTGCTTGCCGAACACCTACAACATGGCACAGGCAGAAGAGATTAGCATTAAAACATATCATAATCAGGGAAGCAGCTCAATAAAAATGATGTGTATTAGAAATGCATAACAAGCAGTAACAGATTAGCTACTGAATTTTAAGCCACAAGCCTGAAGGGTCTTACGAGGAACCAGCACAATGCATACCATTATCTACAGAACATGCATAACAAGCAGTAACAACTTTAGCTACTGAAATCCAGGCCACGAGATTGAAAGGCCTTAAAAGCGTGAACCAGCACAATGGAAAGGATTGATATCTACAGAAATGCATAATAAGCCGTAACAGATTAGCTATTGAGATCCAAGCCACCTGATAGGTCCTACATAAAAGCCCACCCCAGTCGGAATCAGCAGAACGCAAACGATGTCTATTAGATTGCATCATTAGCACTAACAAATTGGACTCTGAAGAGAAGAGAACCCAGCTAGATTACTACTGGGCATAGCCTTAATCCTGACCAGATCTATTCAGGACCTGATGAGAAGAAACGCAATACTGGTTAGACTAATAGGCACGACAGGACAGTGAATCTTGCATACCAAGATTCAAAATCAATCAGCACACACTCATGCAGGGGAAAAAACTGGACATGATTCCCCATTACCCCATGATCAGTTCAATTCAGGCCCAAAAAAAAACGATGAAAAAAAAAACACTACCATCACTGTCCAACAAACTGGCTACCACAATACTACCAGAAATGGATTCCAACAGAACAGCATCACCATGCATGTTTGCTAAAATTACAGAAAGGATTTGAACATCAGAACATGCTAAATCGCTATTCACCATCATCCATTCGAGATTAAGAGAAAACGCTGAAAAGACAATCCAAAAACAAAGACTAGCATGCATCACCGCGACGAAAACCCTGATCCTACCAGGTACAAGTTACCGCAACTACATGCACACAACCAATTTGTCCCAACTCCCAACCAGGCAGGCCGCAGGCACAACAAGCAAAGTAATACACTAATACACCATGGACCAGAAGAAATCGCCAAGCAAGAGAAATCATGCGCGCACATCATAGAATGAACGGGATATCGAGAAGAGGAGAGGGGTGGGCGCAAACGACATTACCGAGCCGCACTTCTGGTTGAAGTAGTTCTTGAGGCAGATCCAGTGCTTCTGAGCGGGTATCTCCTTGAACTGGTTGAAGTAGTCCTTGGCGGTCTCCAGGAACGTCGCCTCCTCCCCCACCGTCTTCTTGTAGCACTTCTCCTGCGTCTCCGGCTCCTTCTCCGGTGCCGGCAGCGGTGCGGTGAGGGTCGGTGTCGTGGTCAGGGTCGGCGTCGCCGCCACCGCCACCTTCTTCACGCCGTCTTCTTTCTCCATCGCGACCCCAACACCAAACGAAGGCACTCCGACCGAAAACCCCGAGAAGAGGAGATGGAGAGAGAGGGGGCTGGTGGATGGAGGAACGGAACCAACAACAAGCCCTTGTTTAAGCACTGTTTAGATGCCACCCAAAATTCAAAATTTTTTAAGATTTCCGTCGTATCAAATTTTGCGGCACATGTATGAAGTATTAAATATAGATAAAAAAAATAAATAATTGCACAGTTTGCTCGTAATTGACGAGACGAATCATTTAAGTCTAAATAGTCCATAATTGGACAATTTTTGTCAAATACAAACGAAAGTGCTACAGTAGCCAAAGGCCAAAAATTTTCATATCTAAACTGGGCAGTTGCCTGTGGTCGGTGAGAGGAATCTTTTAAACCTAAATAGTCCATTTTCTAAACCGGAAGGAATCTAAAAATGGACACTGTAGCACTTTTGTTTGTATTTAGAAAAAATTATCCAATTATGCACTATTTAGATCCAAATTTTTTTGAGTTTTAGCTACTGTAGTACTTTCGTTTGTTGGCAATTAGTGTCTAATTATAGACTAATTAGGTTCGAAAGTTTCGTCTCGTGATTTCTCACCTAACTATGTAATTAGTTTTTTTTCGTCTATATTTAATACTCGTGTCTAACGGATACACTAAAAAATTTTGGAATCTAAACGGGCCTAAAAGGCCCCGGCTGATTTCGGCGGACAATAGTGTTTGTGACGGCGGACAATAGTGTCGGTGAGAGAGAATAAGCTGACAAGCAACACGCTGAACCAGAAATGTGGGATCAGAAATGCTCTGGTTCGTGCGGCGTATCCTACACCACACACTGACCTGTGGGTCCAGGTCCACGCACCGGGCGCACGTCGAGAGCCATTTCTTACGTTTCCCTTGAGCTCACGGAGGAAGGATGCTTTCGATGACGGGTGGGCCCGCATGAGAATCCGACTTCCGTGAGAAGCTCTTCGTGGGCCCGCGAGGAGTACTACGCTGGGAGCTGTGCAGCAGGCGGTTGCAGCCTTGCAGGCAGCCAGGCACAGGGCAGCTGGCCAGTTTTTTTGATCGGAAAGATCCAGAAGATAGGACTGCCACGTGGTCGCTGAGAACGGGGCCCAATGTCAGAGACGGTTGATCGGGGAGCCCCGTGCTCTGGCGTGCAGCCAGCCGTGCAGGACCGCAGGTTGTACAGCTGGTTCTGCACGTTTTGTGGCGCGTCCGATCGTTCACCAAGGGTTGAGATGGAACGACGTGCATGGACTAGAAGCATAAACGGGCCGGGCCGGCCCAAACAAAGTCGTGTCCTTCGCTTATCTGCTGACTGCTGCTGCTCTGCTCTGCCCTGCCAACGGCCCAAGGCCTTTATTTGGGGTTTTCTGCTTGTCTTTGTGTGAGACGGTGAGCGAGAGGCAACTTCTGGAACAGCCAACGCTGCACTTGGCACCGTTGGCCTCATCCAAAGAAAATGCACTAGTCAACGGTGATCGTCAACTCTGAGTCCTCCCTCGTAGGAGTATTCTAGACTTCTAGTGCGAGTGAATCGCTGCATGCCTTGGCAATCAAGGAAGCAACACACCATTTGAACAGCTCTGCAGCTTCCAATCGGCCACTGCCTGCTGCAACCAAGCAGGCAAGCATGGCTTCCATCTCCGGCAAGTCCCCACGTTTCAAGGTGCGTCTCTCTTCTCATAAGTCTGCTAGAGCTTGAAAACCTCGTCGAAATTAGCCTCTCCATTAAGGTTCTTGCTTGTGCGAACCCTGACCTTGAAGATCGTACTCGGATCGTCGTCGCCGGCGCGCCGCGAGATCTTGGCCGACATGGGATACGAGTTCACCGTCATGGTTGGTTGACTATAGTGGAAGCTAGTACTCCAAACTTTTAGCTCTCCGAGTTTCCTGCAGCATATTGATGCCTGTTCATGTTGGATTCCCCTTCTGTCAGAGCGCTGACATCGACGAGAAGGCCATCCGGAGGGAGGAACCGGAGCAGCTGGTCAAGGCCTTGGCTGAAGCCAAGGTACGCACCAGCAAATTAAACGGACTGTGATGTTGTTCTTACTGGTGTTTTTCAGTTGGATGGCATGCAGGACTGCAGGAGTAATGTGTTTCTTGATCTGCAGGCTGAGGCCATCAAGCAGAAGCTTCAGGGCGACTCTGCTCCTGACAGTGACCAACCTGCCCTTCTGATCACCTCAGACCAGGTAGGACGTTCAGCTTCAGCCTTCAGTGGATTCGGTTTTGTATACTCGTGTGGGTTTTGAGACCGTCCGTAACCATTTCCAATTGATTTTGCGCGTCGATCGATAAAGGTTATGGTGAGCAAAGGGATGATAAGGGAAAGGCCACGGAGTGCACAAGAAGCCAGGGAGTTTATCAAGGGTGAGAGGTTATCCCTCCATGTGAACTTCAGATTTGTTATGGCTGAACTGAAACCGAAAGGAAATGCCATCTTCAGGGGAAAGAAATGTTACGGTCCCTCTTTGTTGACAGGGTATTCGGACGATCGAGCATTTGCAGTTAACTTTGTTCTTGTGACCAACCTCAGCACTGGGGCTACAAAAGGAGGATGGGACATTCCTGAGGTAACTGATGAGATGTCGAGATCTTCTTAGAACTGAAATTTAAGTAAGCTGAAATATTAAGTAAGGTCTTTGTTCTACAAATCACGATGATGTCTGTTTTTCTGCATTGCTTTCTGCAGATCAAGTTTCAGCACATACCGGACGAGTTCATCGACAGAGTGGTAAAGCCTCGGCACCCTACAAACGTTGTTCTGCTTCTAGTAGCATTGGGTACTGCAATCTACACAGAAAACTCTTTGTTCAGGTTAATCAGGGCGACATGACCTGCGTGGCCGGCGGGCTTAAGCTGACACATCCGTCGGTACAGCCATTCATCAAAGAACTGGTGAGCAATTCCTCGAGTGTTGAACTTCACATGCGAAAGAAAGAATAGCATAGCGTAATAATTTGCAGTTGCAGAACAAACTTGGATTCAGATTTTTATTCTGGCCCTTTGTAATTTCCGGGGCGGTTGGCCAGGTCGGCACGGTGGATAGCGTTCGAGGTCTTCCACGGGAGCTCACCGAGAAGCTTATTCGAGAATCGCTGCAAGAAGAGTGATTTGGTTTGCAAGCAGAAATTTGTCGATTTGTTAAAGCAACTTCGACAGATTACTTATTCGTCGTCTCCTAAAAGTATATATGTATTTGATCTCGTATCGTTGATAGCGTAACCTTTTCCTCTAAAAAAACAAATTATCAATAGCTTTTCAAAGGGATAGAAGAGAGAGAGAGAGAGTATATCTCCTACATTTAAGGTGAGAGTACATTTAAGTAATTACTTAGTATTGGGGATTGGATATGTAATCTGATGCAACAACAATTTCTAATATTGTTCTTTTATTAGAATGAGATAATTAATCTTTTAGAGATGCTCTCACGTGACTATGGACACGTTTCGTTTGTTTGCTGCCATTCCATACCTTGCCTGGCTGGGACTGGAGAGTCAATTTTGTTTGCTTGCGTTAGCGAGGAAAGGCCGGAAACAAAGACCCCGAGGCAATATGGTTGTACATCCAAATACTATTCCAAGGTCAATTTTTTTTTACCTAAGCTAGGCTACAAAGGCCCTGTTCGCTGGGAGGAATCTAAATGAATCTAAATAAATTTGTAAAAGAGTGAACAGTATTTTCAGTGATAAAGGTTTTTTTCGGCTGGTTTATTGAGCAAAATTAACGAGCCCAAAGTAGCCAACAAAGGATCCAAACGCACCCTATGTAAACGACCACACATGTGAAAGTACCTTTTGCTATGGTCTTATAAATGTTGACATCAAGCCCTATGTCTCCTCTCCTCTCTCTTTCACCTCTTTTTTTTTTTTCATGCGGGTGTTTTCTCCGGCAGAGATGTTATGTAGTGAGATGTGAAAAAAAACTCAGCACCGAACCTAAAGATCGATCTGAAGTTGGACTCAGGAGGCACTTGATGTGTACCATGTGACCACATGGAGAAAAAAAACTCGGCACCCACCTAAGGATCGACCTGGAGTTGGACCCAAGAGGCACTTGATGTGTACCATGTGACCACGTGTTAATTAGCACGTTTCTTTTAAATCCATTAATTGTAGCGACATCGAAAATATGTGATCCTAACTCCAAACGACACATGAGTAATCAAACGGAATGCATTCAACGAGCTCTATGCATTGGTGGTTTCCGTTCATCGATTCGAACAACGGATCAAAAAGTCAAATTCTAGACTCTCTTCTATAAATCTTCTCAATCCGTATTAAAATATTTATTTATGTACTAGGTATTCCTGGATGTTACACCTTTCTTCTTTTCTTCCCACATCCTTCCACCTCACATGATTGATGCATCTAGCCCTTTAGTGTTTTTTATGGATTGAATGATAACATAATTAAAGGTCTGACACGTTTGCTAAGTGTTAAACACGAGATTAAGTATATTACATACACTTGAAGATATAAATGGCTATGTGACAAGAAGTGAATCAGAGGTTCAACAAGAAGGCAAACCTGACGGTATTCCATATTGTATTCAAATGACAAGCCAAGTTGTACATTGTTGTGATTGAGGATCATGGAAGCAATCTAGTTAAAGCAAAAGATAATAATGAAATGGAGTTAGTGAAATATCTTCTTTGTTGTGGATATCATGGCATCATATGAAAGCAAGTATATTTGGCAAATGACAAATGAGACATGAGTTAATGAATATGAATTGGTCTTATAGGTGGCTTGCCTTGCATGAACCAAAAGAGTTTGATAGTGGTCGGTGGATTGACTTTGGTCAAGTGTTCAAGATTGAGTCGAGAATGCATAAGTGAGGAAATATCACGCAAATGTCATATGACAAAGGAGAAAATGTATAATGGATATAAGATTGTCTCTATATTGGTTTATTTGTATGGATAATGATTTGAGAAATCACTATGCATTGATTTAACCAAGATGGAAATATGAATATAGATATTGAAGT